CAATAACACTGTGTGTGGCCTTGTAAGCAAAACAATGTATAATAGACGACGTTTCGGGCAATGGCCTTTGTCGTTGACTGTGCTTGTGCACCACCACTGCTAACGCAACAGCTGCAACTGCAGCGTCGCCGAATGAGTTGTTGACGATGAGTATATATTGAGTACTGCGTTCTCCGAAGCACAGCCCAATGCCGAGGCATCCCTCGAGTTACGAAAGGGGATGCGTTCTTGAAAGATTTAAAAATGAAAAAAGCCTAAAAATAAATTTCATGAATCTGAATGGCTTCTCGAATGAATTTAAAGATGTCTGTTTGGACAGTCGTTCCAACTGTACTCCAAACCCAAACATATTCACCTCCATCACTTCCAACAACAACAATAACAACAACAACACCAACAACAACAACAACAACTGAACAAGCATATTAAAACCATTGAATGCTCGTTAAATTTAAAACGAAACAAACAAAAAAACATGTTGGCATGACCCGGGCCAAGGGGACGATGACGATGATGATGACGACGTTACGGCGTTAGTGCTGCCATTGTCGAGGAGGGATGGGGGTGGGGGTGGGTGGGATAAGGGGGGGGGGGTGTGGGTGGGGGGGGGATAAGGGGGGGGGGCTTCTTGTTTTTGATGATCTCGCGTGCCGGAGTCAAATTTCGTTCGCGCGTAAATTCGATTTTAGGTTCATCGACAAAAGGTGTCCCTGATTTATCAAATGTGTTACATTTCGTAAAAACCGGTACGCTCATGAATCGAGGGCTGCCTGCATTATTATTGCTATTCACCAGAGAATATACATGATAAAGGGGGCGGGGCGGGGGGGGGTTAGATCGCGTAAATATAAATGTGTCGTTAAACCCGCCACCACCCGGCACAGCCAATGAGTAAGGTCTGTCACGTGAACAAAAAACGTGGCGATGAGCTACTCGTTCAGCACAAACCGGGTTGCGTGTTGGACAGTAAAGCCACGACATTTACAATTCGAGTTCGAGAATAATATTTCATCGAATGTACCCAGTTTGCCGTGTTCCAATTATTAATGTAGAAACCTATATGTATTTTTGTAGATATATATAATGTTTAACACGTAGGCTTTCACGACCAATATCATCCAAAAAAAAACCCTCTATTGTGGACGTATAAAATTCTTGGAATTACGGACCAACCCCAGGCCGCTCCCACCTTGAACAGCTTCTCAGTTTCTCCCGGTGGCCTTTTCGAGTGGCGCCGATTAATTTTGGTGGCAAGCATCTACCGCGGTTTGAGACGAGGCTCCGAAGAGTGGACCCGGTCGGTTTCCAAGACGCTGCATCATGTTCTGGATTTGAAGTTTTCGTGACTGCAAGGATCCATACTCTTTGGTTCTTTCGGTAAAGTCACGTTGGGGAAAAGTCACGTGGGTGAAAATTAAATTAAATTAAAAAATAACTAAATTAAATCACGACGTTTCGGAGGCAACACAAGCTTCCGTCATCAGGTGGAACAACCACAGCAAAAAGTTGTCGACTACAGTAAAAAAATGTTGCTGTGATGACGGAAGCTTGTGTTGCCTCTGAAACGTCTTGATTTAATTTAGTTATTTTTATTCTCTATTTTTTTTTACTTTTTATTTTCACCTACGTGACTTTACCGAAAGAACCAAAGAGGATGCATCATATATTGACCAGAGCGTGTTTTTTTTTTGTCCGCATGTTCACCACAAAGTACGCGTGCCTAATGCAGATCATGATTCCTTGCGAAAAGTTTCTGTTTGGTGTTTGAACATCGTGACACCCTCCTGTTTTTTTGCCGGAAAGGCTAAAACCAATTCTTATATCATCGCCACCGCCATCACCACCAAAAAACAAATCACCATCGCTGCCAGCCAACCTCATCACCGTGTTCACCACAAAGTACGCGTGGCTAATACAGACCATGATTCCTTGCGAAAGGTTTCTCTTTGCTATTGGAAACATCTTAACACCTAATTCTAGATTTCAAGCTTTCGTGACTGCAAGGATTCTTAGGTAAAGTCACGTACCTACGTGACTTTACCGAAAAAACCTAAGAATCTTAACACCTCCTGTTTTATATTGCCGGAACGGGTAAACAACAACAACAACAACAACAATTGTGATATGTTGATACTGGCAAGAACTGTCACGTGATGGAGCGTCGATTCCGTCGGCGACGATAGCGCGGTGAGGTTCGCGGTAGTGAACTCGCGAGCCCGAGGCTTTAATTAACGGCGGATTGGCGTGAGAACTCGGGGCTGGGATAATTGCCGGCTCACCCCTTCCTCCCCCCCACCCACCTACCACCACCTACCACCAACACCCACCACCCACCAACACCCACCAGCACCCACCAAAACCCACCACCACCTACCACTCACCAACACCCACCAACACCCACCAACACCCACCCACCTACCACCACCTACCACCAACACCCACCACCACCCACCAACACCCACCCACCACCACTCACCAACACCCACCACCACCCACCAACACCCACCACCACCCACCAACACCCACCACTCACCAACAGCCACCTACCACCACCTACCACCAACACCCACCACCACCCACCACCACCCACCAACACCCACCAACACCCACCCACCACCACCACCACTCACCAACACCCACCTACCACCACCCACCCACCAACACCCACCAACACCCACCAACACTCACCACCACCCACCCACCAACACCCACCATCCGCCCACCACCCCCCTCGGCACTCGCTCCAAACAAACGCATTGACCTCTTGATTAGCTCATTGATTAATCACGTTTTAAATGGGAAATAAAGCCCCCTCCACCTGCAGCCCTGCAATTGTACGTATATTAAACTTCTTCCGCACCGTACAAAGTAGCCAACCGTGCTAATCAGAGGTGAGATTGCAAGCTCACCGACACTGCCGCGAGAAGATCACACCCCCCCCCCCACTAGTATTGGCCTACTCTTCCACGCTTTAACCAAGAGAGGCCTATGAATTACCAACACTCAGCGCTACGCTGCGCTACGAACCTGGCGACCCGGATTAGATTCCAGCTTCACGGCCAACACCGGTGACGATTATCTGAACCGGTCCTGGGCCTCCCCTAGGTCGACTCAGCCTCTAATGAGTACCTGGTGAGATGTGTGGTAAACATCGCCACTGGGGAGACAAAGGCGGTCGGGCGTGGTGCTGGCCAGCCACCCCCTCGTGTGCCGTGCCGGCCTTCATAGGTGCTCGCTAACAGCACTTGCCCCTACAGTCTGTTGAGGCTACACGGGGGATCTTTGTGGGTGGGAGGGCGGGAAGCCTGGATTGGTGCTCGCAAACAGCTATTGAGATCAGTGGCGTGGGTATTTATGTTTTCAGCTCAGGGTGGTGCGGCAATCGATCAAGCGGGGCCCCCAATACTTGATTTGAATAAAAAAATAATAATAAAAAAACGTGGAACGTAAATGATTTTTTTCTTATTTTTTTTAAATTAACGCGTTGTAAAGCCCCCCCCCCCCCCCCACTACTCGTTGCTTTGGCCACCAGGGGGTTTTGGGGGGGGGGGGCAAGGCACCCCCCCCGCGTGCCCCCCACACTCGTGAAGCGACTGACTCAGAGTGGAAGCAGCAGTCGGGGTGACGGATGTCCCCGCACTCGCGACTCGCTGCGGTGACTCACTCGCTCACCGGCGGGCAGTCGCTTCCACGCCACCACGACCACCGTGGCCACAGGCGGCGTGAACTTCACCCGTCGGTTCCTCCTCCACCCGTGTTGCTGGCTCGGTCATCACCAGACACTGACCGTGTCGTCTCATCCACCACCACCACCACCACGCTGCGTCCAACCACTATCACCACCACCACACAGATCACAAGAGCACACTCACCTACTCAATCACTCACTCACCCACCCACGCACTCGCATCGCCCGCTCAGTCACCAACACTGCAATTTATATCAACCCCTCACTCACCCATTCACTCACTCACTCAGCCACTCACTCACCCACTCACCTACCCACTCACCCACTCACTCACCCACCCACTCACCTACCCACTCACTCACCCACCCACTCACCTACCCACTCACTCACCCACTCACTCACCCACTCACTCACCCACTCACTCACCCACCCACTCACCCACCCACTCACCTAACCAGCCACTCACTCACCCACTCACTCACTCACTCACCCACCCATTCACCCACCCACTCATTCACTCACTCACCCACCCACTCACTCACCCACTCACCCACCCACTCACTCACTCACTCACCCACCCACCCACTCACCCACTCACCCACTCACTCACCCACTCACTCACCCAGGGGCGGGGGAAGAAGGGGGGGGGAGCGGGTGTTTGGGGGGGAGCTTCCGTGATCTTGATGGGGGGAGGGCCACCATACCAACCAGGTTGACAAGCGCTGCCCTTGGGCGGTGTCCTCTCCACTGCAAGGCCCACGGGCCACTGGAGGCCGCCGGTGGCCTTTAGCGTGGCCCCTGACAAGTGACCCCCCGACACGACACACAGAGTGACACCCCCCCCCCCTCAGTGGCTTCAAATGGTGCGGTGGCCCTCACACTGATGATGTCTTGTCGGCGACAGAGCCCCCCCCCCCCCCCCCGTTCTGTAAATTAGCGAATAACACAATGATCTAGAAGGTTCCCTTTCTCTCGCTCTCTCTCGTGATGTTGCTAGACTCGATGTTGGTGACCCTCCCGTAGCAAAAGTGTCTGCAGAGCTGTTGCTGCTGGCAGCAATAAAATTGGTTAACAAGTCTCTTGCTCTTTCTCTCTCTCACTCTCTTCTTTTTTTTACGATCAGAGGAAACAAGAAGATGCTCGGTGTAGTCGGCACTTTGCTTCGTTCATCATTTCGTTTTCTTGTTGTTTTTTTCCCACAATGCTTTGCTTTATGTGCCCCCCCCCCCCTTTTTAAATGAAAGATTTCACAAAAGATTTCACGCTCTTCTCTCCTCCTTTTTTTCTCTCACTCTCTCTCGCTCGCTCGCAGAGGCCTCTGATCTTGAGAAGGAGAACCCGGGCTGTAAGCGGCGTCGCACTCGCACCAACTTCTCTGGCTGGCAGCTGGAGGAGCTGGAGCGCGCCTTCACAGAGAGCCACTACCCGGACGTGTTCATGCGCGAGGCTCTCGCCCTGCGGCTCGACCTCGTGGAGTCGCGCGTGCAGGTGAGGAGAGCGAGAGACGGACTTTCTTTTTAAATCCTTTATATTAAGTTCACTTGCTTGCGCGCTTGCGCGCTTACGACCGTGCAAATCTTTCGGTCGTGTTTTAACCCACTTCCCGTGATCCAATCGAGCTGACATTTTGCACACAGACTCGTTGTGCGTGACAATTTATTTTCGTGAAAATATTTTTCCAAAATGTTACACTTTTTAAGTAAAGAAAATTTATATTTAATTACCAATTGCTTAATGGTGGCAGGCAATCATCTGACCCATAGGTGACAGCCATCTCAAGCCAGAGGACGAGAGGACTCTAGCCGCCCGTTTCAAAGACCAATGTGGGCTGGGTTGTGGCCCATTGAACACGCATATAAAGGATTTATAGTGAAAAACTTTTTTAACTTTTAAACCACTTTTATTGCTTGCCAACAGCAACAGCACCGGAGCCGATTTCGATACGAAACAAAGTCACCGGCAACAAATTTCAAGTTCAAGTTCATTTATTAGGTATAGCCCTGTGAGCCATTCGGCTCTTGAATCGAGTGCAACCGCAACAAACAAAAACATGAACAAAAAAACATCTTAAAGTGAATATGTTACTGAGTTGTGAATATGTGACTAACCAAACACAAAAAACACACACGCGCCATGCACAGCGTAGACCAGAGAGAGAGAGAGAGGAATGGAGAAGGGGAGGCGAAAGGACAGAGAGTGAAAGGAGGAAGAGGGGGAGCGAGGGGAAGAGATAACAACACAGAGCGAGAGAGACAGTGAGACTTTTAAACAACTTTTATTGCCGCCAGCAGCAACAGCACTGGAGGCGATTTCGATATAAAAATACACAAAGTCACCAGCAAACAAATGAAATTAAACGCTACAAATCCACGCGCTGTGGCGCTAAAAGCACCGCGCACAACACGAAAGTAAAGTCATGTGGTGGTGGTGGTGGTCATCGCGCACGCCACGATGACGAGCGAGCGCTTCAGAGAGTGAGAGAGGGAGGGAGAAAGGCAGAGAGAGTGAGAGAGACGGACAGAGAGTAAGAGGTAGAGCGAGGGGAGGAGACCTGTTCTTCACCTGAGGACGGCTGCTTGCGTTGTGGCCGAAACGTCGTGAGAATTGTATTTTATTATGTTTTATTTTTTATTATTTTATTATTTCCCTTCTACGTGACTTTACCGAAAGAACCAAGAAGATGAATCCCTGCAGTCACGAAAGCTTTAAATCGAAACAACAACATCATCATCAACAACAACAACATCAACAACATCATCAACAACATCAACATCATCAATCGTCTTCCTCCTCTCTCCCATCATCTCCTGCTGCTCTCTCCCATCATCAACATCAACAACAACAATATCAACAACATCATAATCAACAACAACAACAACATCAACAACATCAATCGTCTTCCTCCTCTCTCCCATCATCTCCTGCTCCTCTCTCCCATCATCATCAACAACAACATCAACAACATCAACAACAACAACATAAACAACAACAACATCATCATCAACAACATCATCAACAACAACATCAACAACAACATCAACAACATCATCAACAACAACATCAACAACAACATAATCAACAACAACATCAACAACAACATCAACAACAACAACATTATCAACAACAACAACATCATCATCAACAACATCATCATCATCAACAACATCATCAATCGTCTTCCTCCTCTCTCCCATCATCTCCTGCTCCTCTCTCCCATCATCATCAACAACAACATCAACAACATCATCAACAACAACAACATCATCAACAACAACATCAACAACATCAACAACAACAACATCACCATCATCGTCGTCGTCTCTCTCCTCCCTCGCACCGTCTCACCGCCAAATGAAGAGTCGCTGCGCGCTCTTTAAGGGCGCTCCGATGACGCGTCCCTCCCAATTCACCGGCGTTTCATTAAGAACGCCGATTAAGCCGCTCCACGCCTAATTATGCCCCATTAACAATCCGCGCGGAGGAGAACGGTGAATCGACTCCGCTTCGGTGCCGGGCGCCATCTCGCCCAGGCGACGCCGTCGGCGTGGACATCCATCCGCGTGTGGAGTTGTCGAGAGGTGTGGGTCTGTGTGTGTACCTGTGTGTGTGTGTGTACCTGGGGTGTGTGTGTGTACCTGGGGTGTGTGTGTGTGTCTTGTGTGTGACCTATGTGTGACCTGTGTGTGACCTGGGTGTGTGTGTGCCCTGTGTGTGTGTGTGTCTGTGTGTGTGTGTGTGCCCTGTGTGTGTGTGTACCTGGGGTGTGTGTCCTGTGTGTGTACCTGTGTGTGTGTGTACCTGGGGTGTGTGTGTGTGTCTTGTGTGTGTGTGACCTATGTGTGACCTGTGTGTGACCTGGGTGTGTGCCCTGTGTGTGTGTGTCTGTGTGTGTGTGTGACCTGTGTGTGTCTGTGTGTGTGACCTGTGTGTGTCTGTGTGTGTGTGACCTGTGTGTGTGTGTGTGCCCTGTGTGTGTGTGACCTGTGTGTGTGTCTGTGTGTGTGTCACTGTGTGTGTGTGACCTGTGTGTGTGACCTATGTGTGACCTGTGTGTGACCTGTGTGTGTGTGTGTCACTGTGTGTGTGTGTGTCCTGTGTGTGTCCTGTGTGTGTGTGCCACTGTGTGTGTGTGTGACCTGTGTGTGTGTGTGTCCTGTGTGTGTCACTGTGTGTGTGTGACCTGGGTATGTGTGTGTGTCACTGTGTGTGTGTGTCCTGTGTGTGTGACCTGGGTGTGTGTGTGTCCTGTGTGTGTGTGACCTGTGTGTGTGACCTGTGTGTGTGACCTGGGTGTGTGTCCTGTGTGTGTGTGGATAGCGCCTGGATATGGGTGGACAGCAGAGGGCAGTACAACAACATGAGATGTTGCGCTGCACTTCTAAGCTCCGCGCCCCTCCCCTGTAGCCATCACAAACCCGCGCACTGACCAGCATGGTGAAGTATGGTCAAATAATCCCTGCACGGCGTGCGGGGGGAGAGGCCTTCCTTCAGCTGAACGTGGTGACGATGATGATGACGAGAGAAAAGAGGAGGAGATGGGAGGCAGGAGATGGGAGTTAGGAGATGGGAGGGAGGAGATGGGAGGGAGGAGATGGGAGGGAGGAGATGGGAGGTAGGAGATGGGAGGAGATGGGAGGAGATGGGAGGCAGGAGATGGGAGGGAGGAGATGGGAGGAGATGGGAGGCAGGAGATGGGAGTTAGGAGATGGGAGGGAGGAGATGGGAGTTAGGAGATGGGAGGGAGGAGATGGGAGGGAGGAGATGGGAGGGAAGAGATGGGAGGGAGGAGATGGGAGGGAGGAGATGGGAGGGAGGAGATGGGATGGAAGAGATTATCGGGACGCAAGATGAGGAGTTGTTGCGCAGTGGTTAGCACATCTGGCTGGTAGTAAGATGGTAATCAATAGAACGAGACGAGAACCCACCCCATGCTCTCTCTCTCTCATTGTCGTGCGCTGCTCGCAGTCCTCCTCTACTCAGAGCACTGAGCGTCATTTTGATCTCCCCACCCCCTCCCCCACGTAATAATAATAAAACACCAAGATGATTTGCAACGTGAGATCATCTGTTTTTGTTTAGCATATATGTGTAATGTAGAAAGTATCTCGGATTTAAATAACATCACGGCGATGGAAGTACTCGAGCAGCAAGCGCACGTTGCAGAGTGAGACAGCCGATATGTTAAACCCACGCGGGGTTTCCTAGGCCTTTCTCTCTCTCTTTGTTTACTACCCCAACCCCCGGCATCTCGACGATGCCTCCCATCTGTTGTTGTTCCCGGTCTCGAACGTCGTCCGAACGTCATGTCGCGACGTTTCAACGCAACTCCACGTGCGCGCGACGCTGTTTGGGTCACGCGGTGTAAGCCACCCTCGTGTAGCCAGTTACCCGGCTACGATGACGATGACGACGCTTGCTGTTGTTGAGTTGGGGAGGGGGGGTGAGTTTATGGGGGGCTAGGGGGGGGGGCTAGGGGGGGGTTTCGTCTTGTAATCGGCAATCACACGCGGGACCCCCCCCCCCCCCCTCCCGAGGCGTTCGCGTGCGCGGAATTTCATTTCGCGTTCTCCTTCATTATCAAATCGCCTCGAATTAGACCGCTTCCTGAGGTTTTACGGCTCGCGCTACGACGCGCAACACGCGCACACAACATGCATAACGCACACAACATGCATAACGCACACAACATACATAACACGCACCATACATAACACACACAATATACACAACACACAACATGAATAACACACAACATACATAGCACACAATATACACAACACACAACATGAATAACACACACAATATACATAACGCATACAACATACATAACACATACATAACACGCACCATACATAACACACACAACATACATAACGCCCAACATACATAACACACACAACACACACATAACACACACCATACATAACGCACAACACATACAACACACACAACGAAGCAGATAACACAACATACACACAACAAGCACAAAACACGCACACGCAACACCCACACGCAGACACACAACACACAAAACATGCACACACAACACGCACACGCACACAACACACACACCATTCACACAACACACACGACACGCACACAACACACACACACAACAAGCACACAACACCCACACAACATACACAACGTGCGCACAGCACACAGAACACGCACACAACAGAAACACCATGCACACAGCACACGCAACACACACAACACTCACACGACACGACAGAACACAACAAAACACTCGCAACACGCGTAGTGTGATTGCACCGCCACTGTAAACGCAAACAGGAAGCAGCATCTGATAGTCATAATACTTTCGTCATAAATACGCGATTATTCTGTTAAAATGGGGGGGGGGGAGGGGGTGTATCGTCATTTATCGATGATCATCAGCAGTTTTTTTCTTCCAAGACGAACAAACTCTCGACGGGGAGGGGAGAGTCGGTATTCAGCGTCTCATCAGCAGCGTCAACTTCGCT